CATCTCACGTTCATCCCCTTCGAACATTCCCATTATTATCAAGATCTTCAGATATTCGTACTACCAGTTGTGCTTCCGAGGGAAATTCCGTCCCTTTTCTCTCGCGTCCTGCCTCCAATAGCGTCTAAGTTTAACCGAATCTTTCTCCACCAGTTGAAGCTCTTCTTTGTCCTCGATGCCCGTTTCAAACTAGCCACGTTTAACGTGCGTACCTTGATACGTATAGGGAAACAGGCGTGTTTAGCTCGTACCCTCGAGACCCTAGCCATCGGTGTGTGTTGTATCCAAGAAACTCGCATTCAAGACTCTAGCTTCGTCATCCCATTGACGTCCCCGTTAAACCCATCCGCTAAGTTTCACCTGCGTCTTTCTAGGGACCCTGAGACTGCGGCTTCTGGTCTTGCTGGCGTTGGCGTAGCTCTCAGTGAGAGAGCCAAAGCCACGCTCTTGGATTGAATCCCAGTCGGCAGTAGGTTATGCTCAGTGAGACTTCGAGGCTCGTGCAAAGTAAATAGTCGTCGCTCTGAAAGACGCAACTTGTTTGTCGTCTCAGCGTACGCACCCACGAACTGTAGCCCAAATACAGTCAAAGGTACTTTCTGCCAAAAGCTACACTACCTCTTGCGTAAGGCAAATCGGGCTGGTATCGTGATTTTAGCAGATATGAATGCTAGAGTAGGCCGACTGACTTCGAGTGAGGCGCATCTGGGTGGTCCTTTCGGACTAGATTCCTGTCGCTCGGAAAACGGGGAACGGTTGCTGGCTCTATGTTCTGACCACTACCTATTCCTCACCAGTGCGAACTTCAGACGCTCCAACGGCTGATACACCACTTGGCGTCCACCCTCCTCGAAACAGCGACAAGCGCAGATAGACTACATCGCTATAAGCCACAAATGGCGGGGTCGCATACATGACTGCCGATCGTACTAGAGCACTCCCCTCGAATCTGATCACGCGTTCGTTTGCAGCAAGCTATCCATGTGCTGCGGTGGGCGTCCTAAACGTACGACACAGCGGCGGTTTGACCGCGATAAGTTGTCTCAACCAGCATACTTAGCCGTCTTCCAAAACGTGCTAGCTGAAAAGCTAGAACCTACCCCATCTGATAACGTCAATGAGCACTGGTGGCTTATCAAGAGTGCTGTGCATTCTGCTGGCTTAGTTAGTTGTGGTCTGACACGCCGTGTCGTGACACCCCGGATTTCCACTGAGTCTCTGCGCCTTCTTGATGCACATCGGTCACTTCCGACCAGCAGAGAGCATGATGTAACACGGCTTGTAATGAGATATGAATTTACGCAGAGATCGCGAGATCTGGTGGTCTCAACGCTCATCGGAAATGGAATGTGCTGCCGCCATGGGAAATTTCCGTAAGGTGTTCCATCTCATCCGAGTCACCGTTAGGAAACCTTTGGATGTGAGCGAGACAATCTATGAAGCTGACGGCTCGCTTATTCACAATCAACAGCGACGTCTTGAACGCTGGGCGAAGGACTTCAAAGCACGTCAGCTTCTCACACAGCTACTCCAGCACACGTCCCATGGTCTGTATCAACAGACACCTTCTGAGGCCAAAATCCTTAAGGAAATCCAAGCCTTGGGAATTCAAAAAGCGCCGGGCTCCGATGGTCTTCCCCCGGCTCTATTTAAAGATGGAATAAAGCTTGTTAGAGAACTACACGTTCTGTTCTCTAAAGTTTGGAACACTGAACAAGTCCCCTCCTCGTGGGGGGAGTCGACTGTCGTCCCCATTTTTAAAAAGGGTCCACGCAATGGTTGCGCCAATCATAGGGGTATAAGCCTGATCCCAATAGCGTCAAAGCTGTTAGCGTCCGTCATTCTTCGTAGATTGTACACTACGCGTGAGGAGCAGGCTGGGTTTCGTACCGGTCGTGGCTGCATCGATCAAATCTTCACTCCCTGACAGCTGTTAGAGCACCGTCATGCTTACCATAGACCAACGATCTTAGACATCCGCGCGGTCTTCGATTCTGTCGATAGGACCGCACTATGGAGCTGTTTGTTGAGAAATGGAGTAACCGAGAAGTATGTGTCGATCCTCAAAGAGTTGTATCGTCATACCTCAGGTCGGGTAGGGCCTATNCCCTTCGCCGTCTCCAGTGGAGTTCGACAAGGCTGCTCTGTATCCCCTTTCCTTTTCAACTTCGCCATAGAGGATGTTCTGCAGGACCCTTTTGTCCGGTTTAGCAAACGGTGGAGTCGAACTCTTCCCAGGGAACAGAGCTCTTGACTTAGAATATGCCGATGATATCACCTTGTTGGGTAACAATACAC